GTGGCACCTGACAGCCCAGCCCGGACCTAAGCCCCCCTAACCTGGACCCCAGTCCCTCTAGCCCGGACCCAGCCCCCCGCAGCCCCCGCCCAGCCCCTGGCCCCTCACCGCGGGGATGCCGAGCGCTCGGATGTAGAAGCTCCGGATCTCCCAGTAGCCCACGAGGCGCCGGAGCGCCGTGACCAGGCGGCACAGCCAGACTGCTCCTGCCAGCACCAGCAGGAACAGCAGCCACCCGCTGCCACGGAGCCTGCGGGGACATGGGTGTCGCCAGTGCCACCAAGCCCCCCGTGGCCACCTGCCAACCACTGCCACAGAGCTTGCTAAGGAAACACAGCTGTCACCAGTGCCACTGGGATGCCCCCACAGCCACCCAATGCCAGCAAAACCAGAAGCCACCTGCTGACACAGGTGGGGACACAAGTGTCAGCAGGGCCAACAAACCCTTCACAGGCAGCAGCCACCCACTGCCATGAAGCCTGCAGAAACACAGGTGTCACCAGTGCCACCAACCGCCTCACAGCCAGCTGCAGTCTCAGAGACTGCTGGGGACACGTCACCCACAGCACCAGGACCCCATGAGCCACACCAGTGGCACCCTGCCCCCGCAAAGCCACGCTGGTGGCACGGGGACATCTGCATGGCCACGCAGGCGGCAGCGGGAGCCGTAGCCACCGCCGCCACTGACCCTTTGGGGACACGCGTGTCACCCACACCGCTGGGAGCCCGTGTGCCACCCGCAGCACTGAGAAGACCCCCCGCAGTGTCCCCGGTGTGCCCTGCCCACCTGCGGGCGCACTGCGGGGCGGGCAGCACGGCGTCGGGCAGTGTCACCTTGGCGCGCTCGGGGACGTGGCTGTGGTTGAGCGGGCGCGTGGCGAAAAGCACGTCGTAGTCCACGCAGCACAGCAGGAACGTGCTGAAGGTGACCACGAACAGGAACTGCCTGGGGGGACGGGGGGTCAGCGGGAGCCCGGTGTCACGGCCGCCTGGCACCGCACGGTGACAGCACGGCATCACTTACAGCAGCTCGAGGACGTCCGAGAGCAGGACGCAGGCAAAGCCATTCCTCTGGTGGAACTGGTAGATGTGGGGGGGGTTAAGGAGACTATGAAGGGGCGACGGACCCCCCATGTCCCGTCCCCCCCC